GGTTAGATACCTTGAACGACGTCAAGCGGATGCCTCCGTTCATCGTCTTCTTTTGAATTCTAATCTTTTGAATTCCTCATCACTATTTTTACTCTATTTTGAAACTAATTCCACTGTGATAAACTTCTTGAATCATATTTTCGATCCCTAATGTTTTCGACTACCGCTAATATTGCTACTGTAGGATTTGAACTGACGACTCGATCACTTTATGCTAATGTGGTATGGTGACTTGAACTGATCTACCTACGTACGAAGTTCTACGTTGTCGCTGACTGACTGAATGACTGACAAGAATGTTGGACAAGGTTAATCAGTATTCTCTCCCTCTAACTCTTACTTTAATTTTTAACTACAAGTTTTTTAAATTTGTAAATAGAAGGATGAAAAAGTATTGTATCACAACAGATGCTATTTTATGATGAAAACCATAGCCGTAATTTGTAAATCTCTCTTAGAACTATAGCTTAACTGATGTCAATTGATGATGAAACTCTATGTAATGATAGCCCTAACTTATAACACTAACCCAACTTCTAATACGTAAACTTAACCTTCTTCTTTTACTTTCAAGAACCGTTTGACCACTTAGTATTAATTATTTATATTAAAATTATTATCTCACTCTAACTGAAGCAGACTCATTCTAAGTGATGACCATTGTCAGACAAGGTTGCTTATTCTCACGCTTACTCTTTCTACTTGAGGTCAACTCAAATATGCAGATGTCAACATCTCAGGGGAAGCAGGGAGTACAGTGGATGGCTCCGATGCAGCTAGACGATTTTGAATTCTCAGATGATATAGCTCTTCTATCCAACACGTAACAACAAATGCAGATGAGGATGTTCACTGTAGCAGCAGCTTCTGTAGCAACAGGTCTCAACATACACAACGGGGAAAAGTCAGATCTTCTGATAAAACAGAACGGCGAAGCTTTGTGGGATGTAAGTACCTTTACATATCTGGGGAAGGTTGATCTAACGTAGATCTGAAGGTAGGGACTGGCAAATCAAGGGTAGCATTTCTACAACTCAAGAACATCTGGAACTCAGAACAACTATTAACAAACATCGGAGTCACAATTTTCAATGAAGATGTCAAGACAGTTCTACTGTATGGAGCAAAAACTTGGAAAACTATGAAAGACATCATCAAAAAGAGACAAGTATTCACTAACAGTTATCTATGCAAAATACTTCGGATTCGTTGGCCAAACACTATCAGCAACAATCTACTTTGGGACAGGACAAACACGTTGTTGAAAGCACTCAAGTGCACCACAAGACAAGCCATAACTTAGAACCTTCAAGAGCAAAGGAAAAAGAGGTAGACGAAGGAACACACTACGCCGAAAATAGAGAACACACAAGACAAGTATAAACAGTAACTGGGGGACAACTAGAAGGAGATGGGAAGACAGAGTAGGTTGGAGAATGCTTGTTGATTGTCTATGCTCCACAAGAAGTTACAAGCGCAAGCCCCGAGTTCCTAAGAAATCGGTTACATTGACATATTCGTTTTTTGTTCGGAAGCTTGTAATTTATTTTAATAGCTTATATTAAATATTTTCTTGTTTTGTTCATTGACAAATTTAGACTACAATCATTTCTGTATGTTTTAACGAGACCTTCTTTTAAAATCTGTTTCCTTTTTTTCATTGCCTAAACACAATAATCACTTATGACAATATCGAAGTGATGAACAAGTTTAGGTTAAAATTTTATTTTCATTCATGTATTCAATCATCAATGATAAATAAATATTCATTTTTGAAACCATGAATCGATCAATGTTAGACCACCATTAGAAACCTGGAAGCACTGGACAATGGCCGTTTCGTCCTGTTATGGGACTCCTCAGCAGTGCGCATCGACGACTCCTGCACCCCATACCAGGACGAAACGGCCGTCCAGTGCTTCCAGGTTTCTAATGGTGGTCTAACATTGATCGATTCATGGTTTCAAAAATGCGTAACTTAATAATCTTCACAACCCCGTAATGCAAATAAATATTCACATGTGCATAGTTGTCTTGATCTCAGATTGAACATTGAATAAGAAATTCGGAAAAAATTTATTTTTCATAAAAAGAGGTTGAAAAATTATTAAGACTTATCGCAATTTTTGAAAAAATTCATAATTCAAAAATTTTTTTTCAAACTATATGTACATTGAGTTTATTCAAACAACATACTGTATCCATTTTCTTAATACTGAATTACTTAAATTGAAACAAAAAATGATCAAAATGACTTGAACATTAAACAAGGTTACTATTTAGTTCTTGTTGACATGATTATAAGCAAATATACAACTACAAACATCACTATTCAGTTATTCATTTTACCGTATATACACATTCACATAAATTTGAATTACCGCTTAAAGATTGTTTGTTTCAATATAGTTTCGCACATATTTAGGCAAACTCCGTTCGTGGTTACAAGAGGCTGAATACAGTTATGAGGACAAAAATTAATTTCATGCATTCATCTAAGCAGACAGCGAAAGAGAATGTAAAGTGTACAAACACAGCAAAGCGCAGCGAATTGGAGATGCCAACTTTATGATGAGCTGAAGCATGACTGAGTCATTTATAGTCAGGCAATAATACGGTTATCGAATTATTATTACTAATACAGAAAACTGGTCGATACTATTATTGAATAACTTGAAAACGACTAATCATTAAAAAGTCAGTAAAATGAATAAATAGTGAGATGCTAGCTACAAATTACTTATTTGCTTACTTACATACTTACGCCTGTTATCCCCCAATCGAGCATAAGCCGTCGACCAGTATTCTCCAAACTACTCTATCCCTGGGCTTTCGTTCCCAGTTCTGTCCAAACTTTTTGTTCATTCTTCTCATGTCTTTCTTTATTTCTCGGAGTAATGTGTCTTCCTTGGCCTTGCAAGAGAGGGTTCGTCTTGTGACCCAGTTGCGTGCTTTTCGCAGTGTGTGTACTATCCACTTCCAACGCTTCTTCTTGATTTCCTCCTCCGCTGGAATCGCCGAAGGGCTGCAAATAAATGTCTTCTTTTGGTCTTTTTTAACAATAACACAGTATATTGTGAACTGTAGAAACGCACACTGCGATAGGCACTCAACTGCCTCACATGACAAGCTTTCACATGGAACCCTCAAGGTAAAAGGAAAAGAGGAAAGCCAAGAAACACATTACGCCTAGAAATGTAGAAAAAGACATGAGAAGAATGAACAAAAACTGGAAAGAGAAGCCCAGGACAGAGTTGGTTGGAGAAAACTGGTCGGCGGCCTATGCTACATTGGGAGTAAGAGGCATCAGTAAGCAAGTATGTAGGACTTACATGTTTATACGCGCTTACTTGAATAGATGTTATACATTGAATGAGAAGGTATACTTCGAGGAAACTAAATTAAGAGTTTGATGACGAAGTTATTTATAAAAACAATTGTTTTGCCTAGATGTTCTTTGTTTTTTTAAAAAATTAATTGTTTACAACAACAAAGGAAATCAATAATTGCTTCTGCGGGTTTATCTTTTCAATAAAAATTCCGTTTATTCCTTTTTCTTAAAATTTATTTCATATAAAATATTTTAACATCAACATATCCGGTGAGTATAATTTACTGAATATATATATATATTCAGCTTTAATATTAGTTTGTATTAAGCGTCTTGGAAGCAATTGAATGAGTAATGCTTCCGTCAACTACACAATACACTAACTGTATTATCTACATAGAATGAAATGACTAGAAGAAGTTTGAATTATGCATAAGCACTGCTTAGCCTTGTTAGTTTACGAAGAAAAATAGGTTGAAAACTGTTCGTCTGAGCTGGATATCTATCTCTAACAGGAGTCTTATGCAATACTTAAAGTCACTGGTTGAAAACAATGATTTGAAATCCACCACAAGGTGTAGTGAAGGAGAACACATGTGAGGGCAACCGAATTGTATTGATAACACATTACAGAGTTAATTGGTAAAATAGAAAAACCATATCGTAAATCATTAATTTGCAAAATATCAATCCATCATGTCGAACTGGACTGTTCCTGTTGCAAAACATCAATTCATAGTCTGACATTTCACTTATTCATGCGTTTCATACAAATTCCATTGTGTTCCCACTCTTCTTGCTTTCTTGATCTTCCCCCATCTTCTGCTGCCAGACATTACGTTTACACTCACGTCATATACTACTTATAAGTAGCGCGCATTACGAAGGGACTCCATTTTTTCATTCTCTATTTTGCATTGACTTCAAAGTTAAGTTCCACTCATCAATTACTGTTCATTCATTGTCTTCGTCTGTTTTGATCTGTTTCTTATTTATATTGAAATTCGATTCTCTATTTCACTATTCGTATTTTTTAATTGTACATGGCTGCATTGACATCGTAGTCTGTGAGTTTGCTTGAGTCGATCAAAACTCATGTCACTTCTTACACTGATCAGTCATGACTAACTAATACTGAGCTGAAAAGTGCTTTCAAATTTCAAATGACTCACTAAAAGAAATGGTGTCCCAGAGTTTTTAACCCTTTTGGAATCATGAACATTCATTATTGAACAATCAGTTCAATGTTCAATATATTTGGTAGAATTGTGGTGCGAGCTACTTATAAGTAGTATATGACGTGAGTGTCAACGTAATGTCTGGCAGCAGAAGATGGGGGAAGATCAAGAAAGGAAGAGTGGGAACACAATGGAATTTGTATGAAACGTATGAATAGTGACAATGGATTGATGTTTTGCAATAGGAACAGTCCAGTTCGATATGATGAACTGATATTTTGCAAATGAACGATATACGATATGGTTTTCCGATTTTACTGAGTAACTCTGTAATTTTCGTAAAATACCATTCGGTTGCCCCACCTGTGTTCTCGTTCACTGCAGAATCTGTTCACCTTATGAATAAATATCCTTATTATATGCCTACTGAATTGCATATTTCCACAGTTTGAATACTGTACTTTTTTCTGTTTTTACTTTGTCATTTATAGGTATGTGGTCTACAAATAAGCAATCAGTTCAGTATTAAAAATCGTGTCATTGCTTCACCACCGCTGTCAATAGCCGCTGCACCAGGTTTAATATTAGCACATGGACATGTAGCAACACATTTGAAAAATACACCAGCTGATGTATTTGTCAGTTCGGATGGTGGATATACATGGATTAAAGTAAGTAATTTGCAGTACGAGGGGGTTGTGAAAATTGTTAAGTTACGTATTTTTGAAGCCATGAATCGATCAATGTTAGATAACCATTAAAAAACCTGGAAGCACAATACCGAAGTTCCTAGGTTTGAATTCTGCGGAGTGCAGGAGACGTGAATGTGCACTGCTGAAGAGTCCCATATCGGGACGAAACGGCTCTCCTGTACTTCCAGGTTTCTAATAGTGGTCTAACATTGATCGATTCATGGTTTCAAAAATGTGTGAAGTAAGTAATATATATACTTGTATTTATATGAATTGAAATATTCTACTTACGGGTTGTAAGAATACAGTGAATTAATCATTATATCTTTTGCTTAGCTTAGATTTTCGTTTTAACTTATCCTTCTGTGTGGTATCAGTTCTCTGTTGTGATTACTGATATGCTTTGCTGATAGATGTCAATTTCCATAGGAGCTATGTCAGAACAATTGATGAAGTAATGAGGTGGTTGGTACATGATGCATGCATGCTCAACAACCTACTACTTTGATGAGCTATGTTTTGTGATGCAAGGATAGGTCGGAAGAAAGCTAGATCGATCCGAGTGCAACCTTCAATTCCTAATCTCTTTGATTACCGCTATTCCGTCTACTACATCTACTACCATGGAATTTGCTCTGTGTGTGCTAATGTGGTAAAGTAACTTGAACTATTGTACGTCAATCAGTCAGATATAATGTAGAACTTCGTACGTAAGTACATCAGTTCAATTTGTCACACCATATTTGTACAGAGAGGCAATTGTCACTTCAAATCCAATAGAAGTAGAGGTAGTAGAAGTAACAACGATTTTTAAGATATTATTCAAAAAGTATAGTTTAGTGAGATAAGTTTAGAAAAAGAAAGAGAATTCCAGATGACAAGAAGTCCAGAGAACTCAAACAGTGGATACATCTGCGCCATCGCAAACGCTTTTCAGCAACATTGTTGAAGGTCTCTAACCATCGGTTACTATCGTCTCGCGGATCCCAACCAGCTAGTCGACACTTACTAACATGACTCAGTCCAATGGTCAGTGACTTCGTGGATTTGTGCCATGTTTTGGTTTTGTCGCCCTGGCTTTCTTCCAACCTATTCCTGCATAGCAAAATACCGCTCGTCGAGGCAGTCGTTGGTTGGGCATATGTAACAATTCAACTGATGAAGTTTCAACCATTCTTCAATTGATCTGCCATCCTTACCTAGCACCCGTTTCCTAACAACTGCATTGCTTACTAATAACCTACAAATATGCTTTATTCCTATTGGCCATGTTTCGCTACCATAAAGTACGACGGAGCTAACTTCTCTGCAGTGGACTCGTCCCTTAGTTAACAGATATCTTGTCTACGCGATAAGTTACGCAAGTTTGCGAAAGCCAATCGAGCCCTCTGTATCCGTGCAGAGATTACGTCAGTCACCTGACCATCACCACTGATAGGACCCCCGAGATAGGTAAAGCAGTCGACACCCTCGACTATTTCACTCCCTACACTGGTTCAGGTGCCAACGGGATTGGAGTGTACGTTAAATCGTACCTTCCGGTTTTTTATAGATCTATAGAAATCATCTGACTACATGATTCGTCCACAGAAAGTCTATTTATTTACACTATAGTGATCAGTTTGGCTAAGAAGGTAATCAGTTCCATTGAATAATTTGTCAATAATTTGATTCATCGATCGTTTCTTTCATTTTATTGATTTTTAATTCTTGTAGGCACTTGATGGACCACATCATTATCAAATTGCTAATCGTGGCGGTTTAATTGTCGCCGTTCCAGCTGAAACCTTATGGCCAGATATATTACGTTTTAGTACAGATCAAGGTAAATGTTGGCATACAATACCATTACGTACTGGACAATGGATTATTAATGAAGCAAATCGATATCATGTGAATACTAATGATGGCGAAGAAGATATTTCAATGAAAACTCACACACATCATCATCATAATCATAATGATATGTTAGATGACAGCGAGGATTCATTAGATCATCAAAAGAAATTTGTTACAGTGAAAATCACAGATATGCCTTCTACTGTTTCTAATTTAGCGAAAGAAAATCAAATTGTATTCAATAAAGATATTCTAACGACTACAATTGATGCGATTTCTGATATTGTACATCGTACAACAACACCCAGTGTAACTACTACTCCAGTTAATACTGCTACTACTACTACTACCGTTAGTACAACTAATAACACTAGTACAGTGAACAATGACCTACAAAATAGTTTAACATCATCATCCTCACCGGACAATCAACATCAATTTCAAACGACTGATGATAAATCGTCATCATCAACATCTACATCTTCGTCATCAGCATCGTCATCGTCATCATCATCACAAAGAACCGATGAAATCGTGGTATTCACTGGATTAGTTACAGAACCCGGTGGTAGAGCTATGGCTGCTGCTGTCTATGGTTATGGTACAGCGACACAACGATGGCGTGTAGCTGTAGTGGATTTTCGTACTAATGGAATGATACAACGAAAATGTTAGTTTAAGCTTATTATTATTCTGATTATTATTATTTGAAAATTGGTGTTTTACTTCATTATTTGTTGATCGAAAAGGAACTTTTTATAGATGTCACTACTTATTATTAGTATATAGTATGTCTTTTTATTGATAAACGACTTGATCTTATGGTGAAAAGAACATTTATTCGGATTCTTACATAACGGAAATTATGATTTTCACGATAGAATGGTGGAGATTGTTGAGTTTCATTAAAAAGACATGAATCGATGATTGTTAGAACATCATTGGAAAGCTGGAAGCACTGAAAGACGGCCAATTTGTCGTAGTAGGGCACTCATTTTCAGTGTGTATTGACAACACTTGCATGCAGAGGTTGAACGTAGAACCTCCAGGATCGTGTGCGAACACTAAACTGACCACTGCGCCGGCATCCAACGGTTTTAGTGTCAAACTTCAAGCAATTCACGAATATTGTGCGACATCACTCATTGTCTTCGAAAGGAAACTACCTCATATCCTACATGGTTGACCTCCATTGGTCACGGCTTCTAACAAGAACTTCAATAGTTTTCTAACGATTCTAGTCACTAGTGGGCAGTACTGATGAATCCCATACTAGGAGGAAACCGCCTTCCAGTGCTTCCAGGTTCCTCATGGCAGTCTAATAATGATTGCAAGGTGAATGTTTGATCATGAAACTATATTGAAAAGCATGGTCAAACACATCATATTTTTTCAAGGCATTTTTGACAAAAATCAATATTACTTTGAATATTTGTTATGAATCATATAATTTTTAGTTGACGATTGAGTTTATTAACTGAGAAATAGGATGTTGACTGGTTAAAATCAACAACATTGTTTATTATGTGGAGACTGTGATGGAATTTCGGTTCTCTGAGCTGAATTTGTTGGTTGTTTAGCTTTGACTGTTCTTCAGATCAACGTCAAAGAAAAAACACCACTACAACCATCCACTGGAATAACAAATTCTCTCTACCATCATAAAAATCATTGTAGATTTTCGATTCCTTTTGTTAGATAATTAAACTTTAAAACTGTTGAGGACGTTAGGTCCCCACAACTCACTCCTAATTTTGGATTTTATGTTTTCGCTCATTGGCTGATCAGTTGACCTTGAGATCACATTTCCCATCCCGGGAAATCGTTGGCTGTTATTGGTTGATGTATTATTTTAGAACGCTACTTTTGTCGCTCTCCCAAGAAGTTTCTGTCGTGTATAAATAAACTCGATTGGTGTGCTTGTCAACTTCATATATAACTGGGTGCATGTAGAATACACTTTCTACGTCTTGTCAATACTTCTTCTACTACTTGGTGGGGTTCTTGGATGCTCGGATTAGAGTAGCCTATCATGTCACTGAATCATTTGTCTTCGCTCTCGTTTACCAACTAAAGCGAATTCGTAACAGTTTCAAGCATATCGACTGGTGACAAGTATAGTAGAAACTTTTATTGTCTTTCCAAACAACACCTTCAGTAGACGCTTCACAAAGAAGTGATCCATTAGAATTTCATCACAAATGCAGTCGACAACTTGTTTTGTTCACCTGAACACTTACTGATTCCTGTATGAAAGTTGTTTTTATCTTTCCTACTGTTACGTAATCTGGAATTTCGCATCTGTTTTTTCTAAAATTTTATGATTGCTTAGTCAGTTGTATGTTTTGATGAGCCATCATCTCATCTCATCTTTAGCCTATTACCCCCGATGGAGCATAGGCTGCCGACCAATTTTCTCCAGCCAACTCTTTCATGCGCGTCCCTTTCCAGTTCTGTCCGATGTTTGTTCATTCTTCACATGTCTTTCTCTGTTTCTCGGAGTAATGTGTTCCTTGGCCTTCACCTCTTCCCTTGACCTTGAGAATTCCATGTGAGGGCTTGTCTTGTGACGCAATTGGGTACTTTTCATAGTGTGTATCGTATCCACCTCCACCGCTTCCTCCTGATTTCCTCCTCCATAGGAATCTGGTTTGTTCTTTCCCAAAGTAGGTTGTTGCTGATCGTGCCTGGCCAACGAATCCGAAGTATTTTGCGTAGACAACTGTTCATAAATAATTGCATCTTGTGGATGATGGCTTTCGTAGTTCTCCAAGTTTCCACTCCGTACAGTAGAACTGTCATGACATTTGTATTGCAAATCCTGATGATGAGTCCTTAAATAATTTTGTAGTAAGATAACAATAGGTCAGTATCAGTATTTGTTGCAATAAAAACATGTAACTGGAAGTTATGTATATGAAGTTTTCATCAGGTAGTAGTCAGTTAGTTAGTCAGTCAGCAGAACTCCGTACGTAAGTACATCAATTCAGGCCTCCATACCACATGAGCACAAAGATGCGATTGTCAATTCAAATCTTATAGTGTTAGAAGTATTAACAGTATTCGAAGAGATTAGGGCTAGTAGGAATTATTCAAAAAGAAGTATAATTCATTGAAATAAATTTAAAAAGAGAAAGATAAATGTGGTGTGGAATTCGGGAGAACACAAAGAAGGGATGCGTCTGCTGCGCTATTGCAACCGAAATCGAGCCATGTCCTGTTCATCCGTTCAAGTGGTCATATTGTTAATTATTATATGTTTCTTTGAGATGGTGAAGAAAATTTGTTGCTCTAGTGGATGATTGTGGATGGTGTTTCGTTCTCTGAGCTGGATGTTGTTTTGATTGTGACGCTTTCATTGTTCTTCTACTGAACACAACATCATCAGCACAAACTTCAGATCTAGAAATGAAGTATTCTAATATCTCGACGTTTGACCAATAACTTGTTCTGTTGACCTCGATTTTGATTGGTTGTAATTGACCTTAAAGCTGTCGTTGTTTGAACCTTTGTTTTGATTGTATCTGCATTTGCTGTGTGTCTTGATCCCATGTTTGCCTGTGATTTCTCCAGTCAGCTGATAAATTGGGTCAATGTCAACTCCGATCTTGATTGGTTGCTGTTGATTTTAAATCTGTCGTTGTCTGTTTCTTCATCCTATATGGCCGAGGATTTTTCTAATTGGTTGATACATTGGGTCAATGTCGGTGGTGTGTTTGTTGAGCGCTGATTGACCTGAGTGCCAAGCCTCTAAAAATTCTATCTAGCGTCCTTTATCCTCCTCCTATCCAGTATTTCCACATTTTTCGAATCGAATGTAAGAAATTTGAAATAATTAGCATATACGTGCTAAGTGAATTAAATATATGTATAAAACACACATATATCAGATAACATTCAAAGAATTTCTGGTGTATTTTAGAATGAAATATTGTTTTAAATGTTTCAATTAAGCTGTTACAAGCGTATGTAATCACGATTAGGAAATTTTCATTTAAACTCAAATGCTTTCAATGTATGTATATATACATTTCTATATTTCGACTTACGATATAACAACGTCAGCATCAACTTGTATAATCTACGAGTTGATTGGAGGAAGATGCTTAATGACGTTATTACAAACCGAAAAAAAAGGAAACTAATATTTCTGAAAGTATTTATAGATTGTTGGAGTGAAACTTACAAGATACTATGCATTTTAATTAAATCAGATTTAGAACAACATATATAAGCGAACAATATTGTTTTCGATTAGATCGTCATCAGGCTGCTTTACTCTAATATACATGAATATTTATTTATATGAAAATGTTAAACTTATCTGAGCAATTTTAGTCAACAGTCACAATGAAATGAAATAGAGATTACGTCACTATATATAATAGGCAAAAGTACAAGTGGATAGTAGGAAGACAGGTGTACTGATAGTAGTAAGAAAATTAAAAAATATGATAAGATTTAGGCAACAGTCGCTAACTACATTTAAATATACATACATACTTACGCAATTACTTACGCTTGTTACCTGTAGTGGAGAATAGGCCACCGATCAGCATTCGCCAACCCAGTCTGTCCAAAGGTCTCCTTTTCAGTTCTACACAGTTGTTATTCATTCTTTTCATTTCCATCTCATGTTCTCGGTGCAATGAGTTCCCGGGTCTATGTCTTTTGCTTTATCCATGAGGATTGTCTTGTGACGCACTGGGGTGGTTTGCACAATGTGGTTCCAACCCACCTCCAACGCTTTTTCTAAATCTCTTTCTAACCTATAATCTTGTTTTTTCCCTCCAGTAATTGGTTGTTGTTGTCGTTGATGGTGTGTACGGTCAACGGATTTGTAGTATCTTGTGTAGACAACGAAAAGTAAACATTAGTTCCTTGTAGATGATCGCTTTCTTGCTTTGCTAACTTTCCGCTCCATATAAACTTAAACATGGTATACTTTATAATTTGAAATCTGTCTAATTAGTGCACATATGAGTTTGCATTACTTCATGTTTCTATTCGTTTTTAAACCTCACTAGCAACCTGCTTGAAAGGTTAACGTTTTCTTTCTTTCCTTACACGGATAATTTCTAATTTTTAAATTTCTTTCTTCTGTCTCACTGATTTACGCCAATGCAAGCAGTGAGCTGATATCTAGTTGATCCACGACCCTCTTTTTAATATTGATCTGATCAAAGGATTTATTTACAGACAGTAGGATTGTGAATTTCACTGAAATCATGAATTTATCTATTTTCGAATACACTAACAGAAACACGTTTGAATTCATCAATCAATCATTGTTAGACCACCATTAGAAACTTGGAAGCACTGAAAAACTACCGTTTCGTCGTGGAATTGGACTCATTCGTGGTAGTGCACATTCACGACCCCTGCACCTCGCGGGATTCGAACCCCGGGGCCTTCGGTATTGTGCGCGAAAGCGTCTAACATTTAGACCACTGGACAGGCATCCAATGGTGTTAATGTCTAACTCTAATTGATCTAGGGATTTTGCGCAACCTCACAATGATTGATTGATGATTTCAAATATGTAAAAACACTTATCTCCATAACTTTAATTGAAAACTAACAGAAACCTCGAAGTACTGAACAACGTCCTTTTCGTTGTAGTATAAGTCTTATTGGGAGTTTTCATTGACGATCCCATGAGGGGAAATA